ATGACCTTGAGGATAATGCTCTAGTGGTCGATTGTAAATTTTGTTTATTTACAGGTAGTCGATTTTAGGGTTGGATTCATAACAAGTAAATTCCACCTAAAAATTTAAACTTTACCTGTACGTTTACCTATCCTTCTATTACATTTTAATGTTTTTACCCGGTCAACATTTTTTATTGACAATTGCAGAAAAAATGTTCAAATACAGACGAAATAATTGAAAAATTGAATGATGAAAAAAAAATTTAAAAATGTATTGAAATTATCTACTATAGTACAATCAAATTCGTTATTGGTTTTTAATTTACACAAAAAAAATTTTTAAAAAATTCGATATCTTTGAAAACTGATTTTCCTGATTATTGAGTTAGTTAAATATTGAGTTAGTTTTTAAAGTGTAGCATTGTCCACAATTTTTTTTGTTTTTACTACAAAAACAGATCATAATAAAATCAATACAACTCATCATTTATCGTTCAGCATTCCGTTCAGAATTCATTACAATTTATTTTTTCAATACAGGGCACATATGTTTCATCAGGGCTTGACTTGAAGATTCTTGAAAACCATAATTTTCCCAAAATATATTTTTATGGAAAATATAAAATGATATTTAAGGTGAAAAATGAAGAAAATAAGATATATGGCTGCGAGTGATTGGAGATTCAGCTCATACGACCATGGGAAACACCAATTTGATTAAATTATACAATAAAATATGTTAATTATTCCGTCTTACTGCAAAAAAAAAAATAAATAAATCATCGCTATTGTTGATTTTGATAATTTAATTTAAATTATTTATTTATTTTAGTATAAATAGTTAAATATTGATGTTATGTACTCATGGAGAACAATTTATCAATTATTAGTTATTTATTATCTGTCCATATTTATATATAAAAGAAAGTTGTATTATAGTTACACTATTTATAACTCAAGAACGGCCGAACCGATTTGGCTGAAAATTGGAGAGGTGCGCAGTACCAGGAGACTGATATATAATATTTTTTTTACCCAAATCGGTTCAGCTTATTAATTTTGTTATCAACAAAACATAGCCGGACATAGAAAATGTGTAATAATAATTATAATAATAGTTTTTTTTATTATTATTTTTATTTATATTATCATTATTACGCATTTTCTATGTACGAGTTTTTTTTATTAATATATCAATGTCTTAAATAACACGACTGGGTTTTATTTTGCCGACATTATCATTAACAATACCATTAAGCGAACAAGACGATCAAATATCTAGAAAACGATACCTATTTAGATACGACCATCGTTGAAGCAACTATCTCCGCACCTTCAAGTCAAGTAAGACACATTATTTGCTACCATCATTTCGATATGCTTTAAATCTAACCCATCTAACATTTGTTACAAATATAATGATTATATGTCAGAAGACATTTTACATAAAATTCATGTCAGTTCAAGAAATCCCGATGTTGAGAAGAGTGAGGAAATACATAAGCAGGCTTTGCTCTTGATCGAAGACATGTGTTACCTCATGTGTGGTAGTTTATTAGTCAGGTTAGGGATGCCAGGGCCAAATCATGAAATTGTAAACCATTGTAAACAATTAACAGAACATTGAAAGATCTACGCAATGACTCATATCTTGACAAATTTGAGAGTTGCATTGCTGAACGATACATCTGCTGAAGATTTTTTTAAGCGATTGCTGGCTATTGGTAAAGGTCAAGTACCTGTCGACGAATCGAGTGGATTGATTTCATTTTATCCTAATTTCTGTAACTTTGCCTCATTGAAAAAGGAAGTCATCAATAAAGTATTCCCAAACATCATGTCTACATAATTCAGAAGGAGATCATTTTTACACTGCATTCATTCAAATATTTTGACTGTGTAACAAATGAAGATGAAGCCATCAACTATACAATTGAATTTTTAAACTCCTTGGACGTGCCAGCCTTACTACTGCACAATTTACGACTAAATGTTGGCTCCGTAGTAATCATGCTTCACAACACAAACCAACCAAAACTGTGTAACGAAGTTTTTCTATATGAGCAATTGTTGATTATTGCTGAATATTCTAAAATACCTACGACATCAAGTGATAATTTGTCATCATCAAATTTAACACGACCAAATTCAAGTACTTTAGCCGATTATTGTGTAACTATTACCACTGGTAAAATAATATCTTATTCATCTGATGATATGAAAACAAAATATAAAAGAATATTTTTTAATATTTTAGACGTAATATATTTCGAAATTAACCAACGTTTTAATACAAATGATGATATTATGTATGCAACTTTAGAAGCTTTAGACCAAAATTCATCAACATTTTTAGACAGTGAAATAATTTGTCGTTATGCTGAAGCATTTCCATTTTATCGATCAAATGAATTTATTGCCAAATTAAAGTGCCAATGCCAACTGGGATAAACCTTATTTTTATCTGTATCTGATCTGATCTTTTTGAATTATATCGAGAAGTAAAAAATTACAAAGTTGGATTTGAAGAATCAACAAAAATTATTGAAAAAGTTTTGGTAGTTCCAGTATCTAGTGCCTCGGCAGAAAATAATTTTTTGAAGATGAAAAGAGTAAAAACATGTCTTTGGTCAACGATGACAAGTAGCAGGATCAATGATTTAACTTTGTTGTCTATTGAGAGAAAAATAAGTGGAAAATTCATAAAAAATCCATCTGCTGTAATTGACGAGCTTGCATCAATGAAAAAAAAATTGGAATTTTCAATCTAAAAATATTTTAATAAAGCTACTAGTATATCTTTTTTATTAATTTAATTGTATACTATAAGTTTTAAAACATAAAATAAATCCTTGTAACATATCTGTAATAATTAATAAATGTTTAACATACGGTATTCTGATACTTTTTTATTTTATAAAAATATTCATTGGTAATCCTTACATCAAAATATCAGGTCAACCAAAAAAAAAGTGTCTATCTACGCCACTGTGTGTAGACACTATATAAACTGTTACTGAAGAACACCGCCAAACTCGAAGTCTCGGGCAGTCAATTGTTGTCGTAGAGCTCGGCACGAGCGTAAATACGACGATTTTGTAAATGAGTGACAGAAGATCTTAGTACGGGCTATGTGAAATATTTATGCCTGTTTAGTACCAATAAAATATGTGTTTCCGACCAAAAACTGTGTTTGAGTCTTCTTTCAGATATTTTACGTTCTTGCCTATTAAAAAGAACAGTGCCAGGATAAACGTACTTGTATAGTATAGTCTATGAAGTTTATTCAAATCGAATATTTTATATCTAATGTAGAAGGAACAAAGGTAAAACCGCATACCATCGTACATCAATAAAGCTTACAGCACTTATCTAATTGCTTTTAGAGATTAGCTTACAGTAGAATTTTATTTTTCGTGTGCATCCAAATACCTCAACCTTGGCACAATTGTAAAGTGATTTTTTTTTCTACGAGTGAGTAAAATACAAACAAACTGTTTTGTTTTTATTTTTCGTGCATTTTAGATGGATATATATTTTTCAGCATTTCCTTATCACATAATTAGATCGACTTGCACGTCTGCATAAAAACAGTCTATTACTACCGGTAGAAGTGTAAAACAATACGCGATGGTGTACTACTTGGTTTGACTACACACACAAACCGGTGATAATATTATTTTATTTCACACCATTACTATATGTTTCACACACGCTAAGTAGTTATCATATTATTTTACTCCAGAGTTGTTCACACACCTACTCTGCACTGTCTGTAGAGATCAAGCACAATCGTATATGTAGACACTAAACTTCATAAGGCGATTTTCTAAAAATATAAGTTAAGAACACCAGCCTAACCACCTAATCTAACCTTGCGTACATTCCCTCTGTGTCGATTCGTTAGTTAGCAGTATAGAATATAATATAGATTAATATTGTTACAATATTGTCAATATTAGGACATTTATGAATAGTCCGTAGTTACTGTAAATTGTACCCACCAAAACTGTACATGGTATTATTTTATAGTTTATTGAGCTGTATTAAAATAAGTTTAGAAACCGAGAATTTAGTTCCAATATAGAATGAGCTTTTCTAACTTATATTTTTCATAAGATAGTACAATATGATAAAATTTATAAGTATTTAGACATAATTAGGCATTGGTCTTATCGTACGTATTAGATTTTTGTATGGTTGATTGTAAAATTATAAGATACCGATGCACAAAAAAAAGATAAACATGAACAATAAATAAATATATTTTTTTTAACATTTATTTTTAAAATATACGATCTATATAAAGGTATATTTGCAATAAGCATTTTATAATGTGATACACTGATGCTGGTATATATAATATTTTGAACATAAACTATTTTATTTTAAGAGACCACCCAACAGTAATACTTATGACGTGAATGATTAAATAAATAAAATAACAATTAAACATGAAAGGTGGAGATGTGACATCATACGTTTTATGAGTTAATTTCTCATGTAATTGGTAGTTCTGAATAGAGGGCTGTGGAACGTTGACAATTATATTCTAATATGCCAATATGTAAACACTTCTGTATGTGTGTATGACTGTATATATTATTCTGTCAAATTTAAAGGTGAATTTAAAACGAGATGAACAACTAGGAAAATGATTTCCAAAAATTCTATCAAGGAATATGTATTGCGGCATACTAACTTTACGAATCGCGGTAAAAAAGTCCAAAGTAAAAAAGTCCTAGGAAAAAAAGTCCGGGTAAAAAAGTCCGAGGCATAAAAAGTCCGCCGTAGATAAGTCCTAAGCCTAAAAAGTCCGGAGTAAAAAAGTCCGAGATAAAAAAGTCCGGTAATATATTATATTATTTACATAACAATATTTAAAAAAAAGTCAATGATTATTATTATGTACTTAGTATAATAACCTTAAAAAAATTCAACTGTCGTCAAAAAAATAATATTTAAAAAAAAATTACAGTTTATATAAATATGTAAAAAATATTTTAATAATTATAATGTTTATCTAGGCCTTGTTCTGATATTATGACCAACTTTTTCTAAAAATTCTTCAATGGTAATTGAATGATTAGCTATTCTTTGGCATAAAGTAACTAGTCGGATATGTGTTGAATTTTTTTTTTTTTTTACTGGCTCTCCCATGCTGTCGATAGCTAATTTCGCTTTATCTGCCGCTACTTCCAATCTCATTTTTCGGATAAGTGTCCAAATAGTCGGATGACTGTGGCCAACTAAATGACTAAATCTGTTATTCCACGATTCGCATATATTATTCGTTCGGTGGTCACCATTCATCGTTGTTTTATGTACATTCCAAGTATTCGGTGGAAAAAGTGGACTTATTTTTTTAAATTTGAATTTGGTACCAGCCCCTACTTTTCTAAGTGGTCCATTTACGTAGGTTGCGTCAAAATAATTTAAAAGATCTTCTCCTTCAGGAGAAACAATTGTTTTAAGGTAAGCCATTCCTTCGAAAACATGTTCAAGAGGAAGAAATGCAAGGCCGTCCAACATTCCACAAAAATGACTAAATTCGTCGTTATTTTTATACATTTTGATTAACCCTAAATCTTGAACTTTTCGGTAAGAACTTTGGCACAAATGATAAAAACAGCCTCTTATAGTCAAATTTGAATCAAAAATCGTTTGAGCGGCAGAAATTAGAGCTTTTTCAAAATCAACATTTAAGTGGGTTGGATCGGGAAATAATTCGTGCTCTTCACATTTATTTAAAATAAGTTTGAACATTTCTTCATAAATAGACATTGTCTTGCGTTCAAGAAGACAGTATACTGCAGTTATATATGAATCATTTTTTTGAACTCTTATAACATAAAGTTGTAAAAAATATTTAGGACTAAGGTTAAAATTACCATCGCAATACCACGTTTTGGCCTCTGTCAACATTTTTAAGCTGTCATTTGTTGCAAACAATACAATTCTTTCACCAGTTGTTGATTTATTATCAGCCAATAAAAACTGTTGACCATTAACTAAAGCCCAATCATCTGAAAAATTAGGTTACGCTATAACAAAAAATAATGGCTAGGTACCTATATTTTAATAATAAATTGTATTTACCTTCTATAACAATATCATTTATGCAATTTAAAGCAGGATTATTTTTAGTTCTTTGGTTTCTAATTGTTCGTTTTACTACACTTTCTTTTGGTAAGAACATTAGAGCTTCGGCTGGTATTTGACTTACAGCTTCCGCAAATATCTGACTCGGCTTGTCACAAGTTTTTCATACGAGATTATTTATTAATTTTGTCAGGTAAATAATTTAGTTACAATTTATATTTATACTAATTGGAAGTTTGATTGTGCATCACATGGTATTTTTCCTTTTACCTAATTATATGTACCGGACTTTTTCACCGTTGACATTTTATATTTCGGACTTTTTAACCACGGACTTTTTATTCCTCGGACTTATTACCTACGGACTTTTTTACTCGGACTTTTTTTCCTAGGACTTTTTTACCTCGGACTTTTTGGTAGTATACCTAACTTTACATAGGATAATATGGCATTGCCGGAGATTAAAAATTAATTGAAATAAAACCTAGAAGATATGTTGACCGATCTTTCGTGAAAAATCTCGTTAACACATCCCGCGTGAGTCCGGTGGTGGCGCCAAGCTAGACCGATGCAAAAAGAAAGAAAACTGTCTGGACGAATTCACGGAAAAGAGCAATATACCTGGTATCCGGTATAATATATTACGTACACTGTACCGTGTATACACACCTCCTAGATAACTTATACAAATAATAATAATAATAAAAAAATACAGTATCATAGTAATGTACTCGACTGTGGGACATCGCGCGTAATCGTAACGCATATAACGGTATACCGGGTTTGGCCAAACCGGGGTCGATACCGGTTGATGCCGAATCCGGCGACAGGCATTCGCGTCCGGTCTTCCGGTGTCCGCGGAATTACCCTATATATATATATACATAATATATTTATACATATCCGATGTGCTAGACGAGCCGTGTACTCAGGTATATTGCTACAAATTGTCGCAGATATATTTAATAGGTATAGGTATATTAATACCTATATATTATGTGCCGTATGTGTGGCCGGGCATTAGGTCAGACAACCAGTGAATGTTAATGTTGAACTCACGTTACGTCGTCCGCCGTGGTGTAGGTAGATGAAACGGTCGAAATGAGTGTAACCATCCATATGTATGTGTATATACACAATACACATATATGTCTCTGTCTATGTTTAGATTATCTATAGTAGTTGATCTGAAAATATTTCTAAAATTCTGAATACCTATTAATAACTTCAGAATAATATAAAATATTATACATGGATATAATAATTGTATTGATAAGTACCTATAAGTACTCCACTATTTAAGACAGTGGTGCACCGATTTTAGTCTTCCCATAATACGCATGCGCATATCCACACTAGCACCCAATAAAACTATAGGTAGGTAGGTAGGTATTAAATTTTTAAACATCGAATGAGATATCTAGGAACAAATGGTTTCGAAAAAGACAATAATTCATTAGATTTCAAAACATGTTATTGTTATGCTAGATCATTATTAATGAATAATAATAGTATGATGTAAGCAGTGGATTTTAGTATTTTACGTATATTTAAATATATATTATTTTAATGATTACATTCAATGTAACGAATAAAATACTTCACTGATATGAATTGTTTATCGTTTATTTGTCATCTATATGCATAAATCACTTAATTAGTTGATATAAAGAGATGTTTCGACTTAATAAACTCTCCTAAGTTAAACCATCTGGAGCCAGTTGCAATAAAATGCTTTAGTTAAAAAGAGGGTGCAAGACGCATTCTGGTTGTTAGATTAGAAGATCACACCTTTTTTTAATAATTTATATCGATACGTATTTGATTAATTATGATTTATGAATATTCATAAATCAAATTGATCGATTTTGATACACCGATTGATATATTGTAGTTCGATTTCCGTTGACGACAAACTTTTCTTTACTATAATTAACAATTTTATACGATGTACAAACTATGACTGAGCTTGGGAGGGGCGAGTAATTATTAGTTCTTCAATTATAAGGCTGCTATAATAAGTATGTATACATGTTTGATCAGATTATAGAGCACAGTTTCAACGCATATACTCGTAAATACACCTATTTAGGAAGTCCATAATGTTCTTCTCCTTCTCTACTTTTTAAAACTAGGAGAATAAAAAAAAATATTTTAGGTTTTGTGTGCATGATACACTAACAGACGTCGCAGTCATATTCCTGATACCTATTATTATGTTTATTGTGGCTATATTACGATTTATGAGCGTTTTTATTCTCCGATATGATTATTTAATAGACTTAAACGTTTTTGTATTGTAACTCCATCATCAAATAAAAATATTTATAGTATTTGTATACATTATGTATACATGTAGATATTTAATAATAGCGATACATAATAAAGTTTAATAATTTGATTCTACGATATAGCTCAAAGTCAATTTTATTTTGTATGAAATAAAATTCCACAAATAAGACAATCTTATCAAATATGTTATATATATATACTAAAAGTGTAAACCTAACCTTCTTCTTCAAAATATATGTCATGTTAAAAAAAATAGAATGCAGGTCAAACCTTTGATTTACCGGTGTGCAAATAACATTTGAAATTTTTTGGGGGAGGGGGAGATCTGAAGTCTTATTATAAAAATATTGAATACGCTTAAACAAAAACTAGGAAATGAATATGGTTTGGCATTAACAGTGGTAAGAAATAAGAACTATAAAAATAAAAGTGCGATAAATAAGTAATTATTATAAAAAATATTTTGTTTAATTGCAAGTAGCTGTTGTTGCTTTTTAATTTCACAGATTGAAATAAGTGTGATTAGGTCACGGTCGTGTTTAAATTAAAAACTGAGAGTTTATTATTTTTTTGGTTAACATTTTGTGGGTGAAATCGTTTTTAGTAAGTAAGTAAAATAAATAGAAACAAGTCAATTCAGGCGTAAAACCACCAATATATATGTATCTGAAAATCTTTCTCAAAATCTGAGAAATAAATCGACCGTAAAATCAATAAACATTCACCTTCTAATCTGAAAAATAGAGACAAATTTATATAACTAAATATCTCTGTCAATAAAATAACACTTATCGGTTATCAATGAATTGATTATAAATTGAAATCACAATAATTAATACTTTTAGCATTTAAGAACACGGTCTCAAAAAATGTTCATAAATAGTAAAAAATAATAACTAAGGTGATTCATTTAAGTATCCAAGCTCATTATTTTGAAAAACTTTAACTTATTTTGAAAGTATTTTTTTACTTAAGGGCCTCGGATGTAGACAGTTTTCAAGGAGTTCGAAATAGGCAATTTTCAAATTCCCTACATGCGGGTATTGTAAATGTGTGCATAGTAAGTGATGATTAATGTGTGTGACTTTACATAAAAGAAATGACGGAGCTTTCCCCTACGCTCATGTACAAGTTATCTACTGGGCGTTGCACCAGTGAACGGTAAACAATTTATGATAATTTGTATGCACTTTTTGTCCATCCTACCGATCGACCTAATAATGCCATAATATTTTAGCCAACTGATCCGAATTCGTTATAGTGTCTACTTGTGATCGGTCAGTCCGCATTTTAAGATTTCTGAATTATATTCAGAATAATCAACTCTTGAATATTCAAACTAAAGGTATTGTAGTCAAGGGATGAAATTGTGAAAAGTAGACTGACCGATCTCAAGTAGACATAATAAAAAATTCAAATCAGTTCTAAAAAGTATTAGTATTACAAAGTCGATAAGTATGATGGATAAAACATTGGTTTGTTTTGGCCAAAATAACTGTGCGCCACCGATCTCCTTACTTCTATGATATTGAAAAACAACATTTTCGAAAATAAAAAATGTTTTTTAAATTTTCTTTTACTATATTGTTCGAGTTCGTATTTTTTTTTTAATAAAAACAAATATTCTTATATGATTCTCCGGAGTAAAATTTTTTTCTGTGTATTTGACACATATATAATATCATAGTGTAGACATTTGAAGGATGAATGTATCATCTTGTATACAACAAAATATTTACATTTGATCCGAGTATTTAAACATATTATACTTTTTATTTTTAAGGAATTAACTATTCGATTTTCATTTGCCTTACGTAGAACTAAAATGCATTGGTGAGAATGCGAAATTAAATTCACTGTAAAAACATGTTCTATTTATTTATTTTTTGATAGCTATTAATTTCCTACACTATGGATTTAATAGACTTAGATGTATAGGTACACAACATAGTGTAACATACATCCAACATACATCAATTCCTTTGAGAACACGGTTTTCTTGGTCTGGACCAGCGAAGTACACGGACTGCTAAGGAAAATCCTCGGAACCTCTTCCAATTTTCTATCGAATAACATTTTTTTTTAGATTTTTTACAAGAAAATTATCTTATGTCCGTGACCAAAACCACCGAAAGTGCCATGGTCTCCCGGCATTAGTGTAGTAGCATAAATAACAGCTTAAGAACAACTTTTCTAGACTATTCTGTATACTTTTTACATCAACCATAAGAACAATTTAATTTTTCATGTATTCTAGATATTAGTAATTATAATATATTAATATATAAAACTCAAAAACTTTATCAATATTAATGCGATTTATCATAAGGCTTTCTTCGTGGTGCTTCTATATTATTTAGCATGGTCATCTTTAATTCAATAACACAATTAATACAAATTTAACAACGACTAAAAAATATTACTTTTAAAATTGAGCTCACGGTTTTCCACAATAAAATTGCGAGACGAAGAAATAGGAAGACCGTTATAATCCGTATTTCATGGAGTACTGTGGTTATAATAGGTCATTTTAATATATTTAATAATATATTACTGAGGTCATGACCTTTGAATAAACAATAGAGCATATGAAAGATGATTAAATGTTCAGATTATTAATTAGTCAATCATTATTATCACGAGGACTTATGACGACACATATTATTTTATTATTGTCTTACGATTAGATATTTATATTCATAATAGCGATTACGATCGGTCAATTTATAATAATATATCGGATAAAATATTACTATTGTAGCATTCAATTATATTAATAGACAAGCGTGCATAGTTATTTAGAAATTTGAATCGTCAATAAATTATTCTGCAGCCATATTAACTGTTATAATAGTACATATACCATTTATTAACTGGGTATTACCTATCTGTGGTACATATTTTCTTCGAGCCTATAACTATGTATAGTTTTTTATGCGTAATAACATTGATTATAATAACTTGTTTTATAAAATCAATGGTGATAAATGATAGTTAATAATTATTATAGAAAAATGTGTCCAAAAAATATACATACATCGTAACTGTAACGTGAATTGTAATTCATAGCCATTCATTGATGATTATACTGAATGCATTCAAATGATAGGTAAATAAACAACATTCATGGCTAGATAAATAGGTGAGATATTAGGCACCTAAAACGGCTTAAACTGGCCTGTTATTATCAAGAAATTTCGTATGAATATTACAGTTGAATCTCGATAACTCGTATCTTAAGGAAATAAAAATAAATTCAACTAATGAATTTCCCGATTTATTTACTCCAAGCACAACTTAAATTCACTTCAATGGGCAAGAAAAATTCTAGCTATCAAGATCTTCGAGTTATTGAAATCTGAGTTATCGAGACTCGACTGCGTTTGATATAATAATTAAGTATACATACAAATTTCCATACGTTGATGAGCATGGATTTTCATAAATAATCTTTATGAATCACACTAAAAAAATCACTGTTAATTTATTAAGAAATGTTTATCATGCATATTTTTGTATAGTTTACATTAATTACATATTTTAATAAAAATCCACATTTTCTTTAAAATTATGCAAAAAAATGTTGGCCATTCATTAAGCAGAACGGAGCATTACAATTTTTAATTTTAATAATAGCTGGTTCATATGTACCAACTTTATCTACTTCGAGATACCAACAATTTAAAAAAAAATATTATCTTCAATATATTAGTACTTTTTTTCTTATATGATATTATACAATAAGATCAAATTTATATAGGAATATAATAAATAAACAAAATAAATTCCTTGATTATGGAACTTATACTCCCCATAAATCCACCAATGTAGATACATGTTTCTTTATTTATATTCAAGTATTCAACACATTATTAAAAGTTAGTCAATACAAATTTAAAATTTGTTTTATTTGTATAAACAAACATCAAAGTGTATACTGTTAAGCCTCGTAAAGACAAATGTATTCATCATAATATCAGTGGTTTTACAAACGTATCGAAGTGAAAATGTTGTAAATTAATGATTAAACCATATTTTATATATTCCAGAGCTTCAGTAGCACATCATGTGTCATATGTCATAAACATTATATATTTAACTACGAGAGCTAACGATGGACTATGAAATATTAAAACTAACACTGGGAGATAAAATAATTACGTTCGAAGTCTTAATGAATAATATAAAATTAACATATTATTTTATTTATAACTGCAGATGGACATGGTTTTTTAGTATGCCACTACATATTTAATGGTATAGCTCGTATAAGTATAGATAATAACCTGAAAAACATTGCATAATATTATTTACTTGAGCAGGTATTATAGTATAACCGGAGTCTATAAAAACAGAGCCTTATTTACAATAGATTTTATTTTAAAAAATAAGACCATAATATGTGAATACGAAAATATAATGTATAAGCTCAGTTGAGATGTTTTCGGATTTTTATTTGATTTTGAGTTGACTCTGAGAAATGATTTTATGGTATTTTCCAAGTGTTTAGAGTGTTCAGACCTATGAATACTATGTATATTATGCGACAACGTTGTATATCAAATACCCCGAAAACTGGTTTAAAGTAAAAAGAAAAACTATGATTCGTTTATTTGATTCCACGATCACCCATCTAACAACTAAAAAATGTAAAACTAAAATTTTTTAAATTGCTTAAGTAATAGACGAATGAAAATAGACGCATGAAATATAGAAGTCTGAAAACAAATCGAGTATTTGATTTGTTCAGTACAAACAAAATTTTACATGGCTGTGACCGATTCCATATTAATATATTTTATTTATGATCGAATAAAAATATAGTTAATTTACTAGATATTTTAAAATTAACCTAATTTGATTAAAAAACTAAGCTATAGACAAAAAAAAGAGACAACTAACAAGTACTAAAAACAATATTTCATGAATAAGATTGTTGGTTTATTTGTCTCTCAACATTGTGATCATCATATCATAATAATAACAATAAATCTATTATCTATTCATTGATTGACGGCCTTAAATTATAGTATATATTATATCATGAACCACTAACTTGCATTAATGCAGAACTGCAATATTGTACTCTACATATTATACATTATACTTAAACACAAATGCAATTCGTCAGTAAGCACCTGCACCGACACTTATATAGGTACTTACCTATAATATGGGTGTGCTGCTCCCATCTGCCCGATGTTGGTGTTTCGATTCGAGGTCACGACCACCTGCAACAGTCTGACACTCTGACGTATACAATTTTTTCAACCCTCAGCGGAGTCATTCGTTGCACGCACGCAGGTTTTTGGCTGCAACAGGTAATAATAATTGGATAATTAGATGTTCGCTATAGTGGTACTATTATATATAGTCGGAATGGCTTTTACTATATCCATCTGTCAAACGAGCAATAAACCGAAATCCCACCAAGTGAAATCCAAAATTGTAGGATCTAAGACAATCTAAATCAATATCAGAGTTCAAACATGTATTTTCCAAATCCTAAGAGGAGATTATTTTCGAGATAATACTGCAAATCTTGTATATAAAAATATTTTCCAATGAAGGAGTTACAAAGTCTAACGTTGTATTACCTATATGATAGTATAATATTATTATACATACACAATATTGCAACTTCTCCGTTGAATTGGGTATTGACTGAAAACAATTATTTATTATTATAAAACTCTTCAAATTTGTCAAAACCTAGATCTTAATCTCTAATATCGTCTTAGACGATCACATTTTGAGTAAGCGCAGTTGAATTTAGTTACATTTTTCGCTTTTCAGATCAATTCAACATTGTGCGGGGAACATATAATTATATTATCTCCACATTGTTGGGAGAACAATATTCATGAAAATATTTCTTCAAAAATGTTCGACTTTTGTATTTTCAAAGCCAGCAGACCAGATGGTTTGGAAAGTGTGCAAAATATGTACACACGTCATATATATGTAGTGGAATACAAACAAACAATTTTAAATAGACAGACAAAATCGGTGCAATAACAATACAATAACAGCGATGTAACATTAACAATATTGTATCCACCTATAATTATTAATTATAGTACATTATATATTTTTATATTATAATAATATTAATCGGTTGTCGTCAGATGGCGCCGTGTCCGCCGCAGAACGGAACAACGCGTCGAGCTCGTAATAATAATATTATATAGTAATAATAAATCGTACTTCTACAGAACTGAGGCGACGGCGGCGGCGGGGCACTACCAGCGGCGGCGGCGGCGGTGGTGGCGACGGCGGCTGTTCACCAGCAGTCACGTGTGACTCTCAAATTGCCGACCAGTCGGTGCGCCTCGCGACTGCTAACGTAACGTGCGTCGTCGTCTCCTTCGCCCGCAGTCGATGTAACAGAACAAAAACGATCGGAAATCGATACGATTTTAAGATTTAGAACTATTTTTTTCAGCACACGCGTGCTTAAAAAATACCCACCGCGTCTGATAGAGAGTGTCTACGTGAATACATAATAACAACATTTTCGTTTTCGCAGTCGTACCCGGAAGTGTCTGTGTTCGCGCACGATACGGACGTCCGATTTGCGAAGATCACGAAGATCCGAGTGCGCGGTGTATAATAGCAACAATAATAATATTGTCGCGTCGCTCTTCATCCGTTAGTCCGTCGGCACGGCTGGCAGAGAACACGGGCAAAGAGTGAGTGGCTACACACATTATTATTTATTGTATCACAACACACGCCGAACTATATTATGTTATTATTATCGTGTTACACGACGGCACGTGATCGCATGCATTTGCATATTTTTATTAATTTGGCGAAAAAATAGCAAGCTGCACGTTTTAATACTACGAGCCTTTGATGTTTCTGTGATTGATGATCATACTATTGCATTATTGATGTTTTTGCACAATATTTAGAACACTTTCCATTATAATTATGCATACTACATAATTCAATAAATACAATATATTTAAATAAAAATAGATTTTCTTTAGATATTTCTCTGCCAAGTTTAATAGGCATGGTGGTATAAGTAGTTATTAGTAGTACTTATTGATAAAAAAAATATGTGTTATAACTGCACTCCCGGGATGTTTCGGATATTTTTTTCCGGCCAACGGGCATCCACATTTTTCCATTTAAAGTCTACAACGGAGCCCACACAGACTATTGACGGATTTTCCCAGTCTGTCAAACGAGTTAAATATCTACTTAAAGTAAACTACGTCGTATTCAATACCGGTTGGCGAATACAAGGGACGATTGGCAATGAAGGGTCTGAAGCAAAGACTACACGATTCTCGACTATAAGTTGATTTTAGTTTTTTACAAATAATTATTTGCAGTAGTCTCAAACAACACGCTCAATATTGGATAATAAATAAGTTCTGACTAATACTATCACTTTTTAACTTATTTTTTTTTTCATTTATATTGTTATAATCTAACTGGTGCATTGGCACACGCGGTCTAGTTCGTGTTCACGTCTTTTTCATTCGTAGACCCTCCGTCACCCCTGTTCGAGCAGTACGCATGCTTACCTCTGAATTTACCCCGAACGGCCGAGTGTGGTCTGTTTCATTTTGGACGTCGAAATTTCTCGAGGGCGTGTTCAAGTATGCACCGTGGAGGAGACGGCACTGGATCCCATAAGGCGCGCCCGAGGGAAAAAATAAAAAAAACTGGTTCAGTCCACTACTATTTATTTACCTATTCGTTCATTTTTATATCGTTGTTATAATATTATACTTTCAGTACTACATGAGGAGGCCCCTTAGTATGGTTATATGTGACCAGTTACCACGTTATTATGGCACGATTCGAGAGCATAAAATACACAATCACACTAAATGTAAAGTGTACACCGAAGTAATCTTCCAATATAATTATTGGAGGTTTACTTGGAAATTACACATTGAAAAATGTTTTGACTTTACAAAATGAACTTTTACACACATTAGGTTGCATGTGAACGTACTTTATAATAGACTCAGCTTTTGCTGTAAATCAGAGCCCCCTACATAGGCCGATCGCTGGCCAATTCTCTTAATTTTTTTGCTTTTGAGCACTGAAAGTGTATAACTTATCATAATGACATTACTAAAAATATTTATGAATTTCACCTATCTTTTACTTCCTTTGAATACGAATCATGTTCAGGATGCTTCCTCGACGACAACAAGTGTTTTTTTTTAAACTTACAAATAAACACCAACGTTGGTTACCATGGTAATTATCTGAAGACACTATTTTTCAAGTTTTTTTTGTGTAATTGAGAGTAATATCGCCATCGATCTGTGAACGAATAGATCCACTCGTGGTTCCTGGGAGTAAAAAATATTATTAAATCGATCTAAAGACGACGGACGAATGGGTGTGAGCTATATTGTAGTAATATCAGGTGTTATGTACATAAAATAAAATATTGTGACGATATTGTGAAAAATATCTAAATTGTGGTTTTTGTCTATCTAAGTATCTGTAAAGATAAAGTGAAATACCATTTGGTGAATTCATATTTTCATTCAGAAAAAAATGAAGTGAGTATTTTTGTTTCTTACTATGTGGTTGACTCGATTCTTTTTTTCGGGGTTGGTAAAAGTCGAAATACGAAGGACTGCAGTACAAATACGTTATAATATTTATGTAATATTATGTGACAATATAATATTGTTATAATAGTGAATATAATATGTTGTACTATACGCTCGACACCTGCCGGCACGCGCTTCTCCTAACCAGACTGACGTCGGACGACAGTAACAATAAATTATTACACATAGAGGTAGCTGGTGCCCCAGTCAGCTGCTGTGGCCACCGCACGTCTCGCGTACTACAGGGACGCTCCGTCACTTCCGGTATCGCAGTCGTGCGTGCCACAGTTTTTTTTTTTTTACGAAAAACATTTTTTTTACTAGTCTTCGCCCCTTCTCTATGCAATAACAATAACGTCGCGTAGTTGTTGTTTGTACTGTTTTTGGGTTTTTTTCTGTTCTACCCTTCGCACACACGTCTCACTGCGTACCCTTCCAACCGTAAACGCTTTCGAATATCAGCTAATACTATATATACACAATATACACCTATAATAGCATCAACGGGCAATGGCAATTACGCCAGACAAAATAATATTATTGAGTATATAATGTACTATGTATATAATATATATATTGTGTACTCAGTGGTAATATATAATATAACATTATGTTTGAACAGTAGTTTCCTGTTTGATTTTTACTTATCGAGTTCTTCGCTATCAGTTTTTTTTTTGGTTTTCCGTTTCGGTACAAGCATAAGTACCGCTATTATTTCATCACTACGACTGTATTGAGTGTATACAGATCGAGGACAATGTCTTGATGAGGACACGTCGAATATACACACCTACAATAAAGATCGTCTGAAATTCACAAAGCTTTTTTACTTTCATGTATATTATAATAATAGTAAGTATCTAATAATAATAAAAAATAATAATAATGCCAGCTCACTCGTCGTCAGTCATTCGTCTTCTCGACATTTCACCGTTTTATATTGTGTGATTCATGAATACAATATTATTTTATCTGTGCATGTTTATTAAGTTTACAATTTTATCGTCGCCCAGCAGTCCAGCACATGCCTAATATTTTATTAACCTACTTTCCAAATTTATATTTAAAAATATTCTTGATTTAGGTATTCGAAATTCGACTCGTAAAATTTATATCATCTCTTTTAAGATCATTCAAACTAAATAAAGCTCACTACCTGAGAATAAAAAAAAGAACTGAACGCGTTTTGTGGTTTTTAGTGTTTTTAAAACGTCGATCGTCTTAAATTTCGTTTTTATTTCTACATAAATAAGCGTATTGTATCTCGACTAGTAAATTACTTTCTGTATTTTTGTATTTATATTGGTAATCTTATACAGCAAGATCATCGCTTGGGAGTTGGACGTAATGATATTATGTCACCAGAATGATTTTAGAGTTTTTATATTCGTGGGTGGTTTTTATTACTTATTTGTATACAAGATAAATGATAAAAATCTTTGAACAAGTAGCTTATTTATGTCCCACTATATTATAACTTATATATTGTACATTAGTTGTGATGTTTTGTTTTTTTCCCGAGTCATGTATGACCTTACAGACTTCAAAACACTATGCTATGCATAATTTAATGTAAAACATAGGTAATATTGTAGACAATGAAGTAAAAAGATTAAAATTTGCTTTGTAGAGGCCACGAGAAGAATTGTACTATTTAATGAATTTTAAAATGTAAATTTGTAAAGTATTTCTTTTTTATAAAGTATGCGTAATGCGTAGACAAGCCAAAAAAACGTGCCTCATCCACGTTTTTTGAATTTGTATTTTGTACTTTCTGTAGTTTTATTACGTTGTTGGTCTCGCTACATTATTTTTGTCGATTGTGATTGCATGATTATTTTGTAAAAGACTCCTTGAAAATGTGGCATATTCTGTATTTTAAAATTAAAAAAAAAATGGTTTCGTTATCTACATTAAAAAAACGTTAATTTTGATATCCTCGATTTTTAATACTATAATATGAAGAAACTATGACGAGCCTTCGGAATAGTTGTAAAAATATAAGCCATGTCCATGTCCATGTAATGTTTGATTACTAATAAACTTGAATTTAATTGTTTTAAAAAAAAAATGTGATATGATGTATATTCTGTCAATATATGTATATTTTATATATAATAGAGTAATAATATGTGACATTTCAATAATATTATCAATAATACCCAGTAAAATTGATTTTTTTTTTTTGTTAAACCTTGAGTTTATTTTAGTTTTTTATTTCTTATTATCATTATAGATTAGAAACAGTAACGAATTTCAAAGTCATACTGCAGCTTAATGTGAACACACATTTTCTAAACCAAACAAACGACTATAATACGTGCGTAGTATATTTTTGCCTCAAAGATGAAATCACAATAGGTTTTATTTTTTGATCATTAGTCATCGGGTGGGCATCGCTAATGAATAGTCTGAATGCGATCGGGAGATAAATTATGAGAGCACCACCTTTCCTTATTAATGTACGGCAATTAATTGAACTCATTCAACTCGGTGGGTGGGGAGGGAGAGTTTGCAATTAGTCCATATATTGGTTTTGTGACCTTTGCTGCAGGAGCATTGCTACAGCGTCAAGTACAAATTTGTTTCGCGTTGTTACTACTACAAGACTAAATATGGAATACATTTCACTTTGCATATTTTCACATGTTGCAGGCAACGCTGCTGGTACCCGCTAATATATTGCGTTCATATAATGGATCGTAAATTATCAACAGGTTCACGTGTTTCAGCGGGCACACGAATAATAATAATAATATACCGTATGGGTGCCACTATACATACATGCAGTTATTATGTGTTATTATATTTGAACATTATGATTGTTTTTACGTCTTGTTCGTATTGGTATCCACTATCTATATATGAGTTATATTCTGTTGTATCTATGGTCGATTATATTTACGTTTATTTCTATCGGTCTGCCCGGAATTGGAACAGTTCTAAAAAGTACTAACAATTGATTTGTTCGCTAACAATGCTTAGCAAAAATACAAACATTCAAAAGGCAACAAATTAATATTGTATTCTTCGATTGGAAAACATAAATATTTAAATACGGGTCAACACTTTTTGTCAATTACTATCGAAAAATCGTAAAATTAAAAAGCATGTGGATACTAATAAAAAATCAAAAAAAAAAAAAAAACACGAAATATGAATAAATATCAACGAAAAACGTTTGTTATTTCTAAGTATTTGTCATGAAATTGTAATGAAATAGATATTTTATACCTTGCCCGTCGCTTAATCCAATAAGACAAAAGAAATAACATGTAAATGCAACAAAAATAATTTCCAAACCTTAAATCCGTATTTATATATGTATTATTAATTAAATGTAATAATATTATAAAATATATTGTTTATAAAGTCTTAGTCGTATATTATATTATATTATATTTTTGTAGTACACTTGAGCCGTCAGTTATTTTTTTCGCCTAACTGCAACTACCGATATAATAATACGTACAATGTCGTATATTAATTATTATTTCTTAGTAATGTTTTTAAGCGTTTCACTCAGCACTATGTCTACCTATACTATACCTATATACCTACCTTTACATCCTTAGTTCGTTAAATATGTGTTTGTATCGGTTTTATGTTCTACAGCTGTTGAATTCGTTAGCAATCTATACATCTATAAATTATAACACTAACCACTGACGATTTATTTATTATGTGTTAATAAAACATTGGTAAGGCGTTGAGCAGCGAGCGTTTAAATTGTCCGTGTGTAAACGTATATTTGATCTGCTTGTTAGTTGTTACGTAAAAGTGGTCCATACATAATATTATATTATATATTTTTTAAATCACTGACGATGTGTTTTGTTAATTGGTTTTCATATGTTATATATATATTCCCGTTATTTTTCTCAGCTTAATTTATTCATTTTATTTCTTGCGTATGTTATATTTACTAATACATAAATATCTAATATAAGTACTCAACATAGGCACCATTCGATGATAATTAGTATATCAATTCCCCATCGATTTATATTTGAAAACATCTATATGTTTTATAGGATTTAAATGTTAAATTATTTTGGTCATATTATTTTTTTCACCGATTTTCGTCATGATAACTACATTACGTGCACACGTTGCATTCCATACAGTACTTAATGTGCGTAATTGATACTATAACTTGAGCACATTTTCTATATCTTAATCAATATATAGGTACAGTATATTGTAACGGCATCTTCTAATTGAATATAAACAAGACTAATACAACCGTTATCGATTACTTCTATCTAGGGTTAGGTTCTATCTAAGGTTATGTTAGCTGCTTGGGTTTGTCGAACTAGCTCGCGTAGCGCATAGTTCATTACTGTAGACGCTTTTAATAAAATAAAACTGTTTTCAATTCTGTAGTGTACCCCGTTGTTTTTCGAACAATCCACCGGGCACCAATGTTAAATAACATTTGAAGGTTTTAGTAACGGTATCTTCGAGTTATACCGGCGCAGTCTTAAGAAAAAAAATGTCCCATAGTCGATTTCCAATTATTATTATTTTTTTTTTTTATTAATTTGCAGTAATGCGTTACTAATTTTTTTCAACTTATCGTATCTTTTGTTATACGACATAAAACCGCTTTATTAATCTTGTACGACTTGATATTTTCTGCCAATTTATCTAATTTTTTACTTTTCCTTTGTTTTGCTATAAACGCAGTTTTAGCATTGTCTCACTTCCATTATTCGATCTTACATACATTAATTCTATAGGTATAGCTGAAAACTATTCCGATACTGTTACCTTCAAATTACGGTCAATTTCTTCTATTCCTTTGAAGCCTTCAAATTATCCTATTTAATACTCTTGTAAAAGCATTCATAGGAGGCAGTGAGATACCCGTGTAACACACGAAAGGAGATTGAACCAAACCAAAAACTATATCCGATTATATGGGCCCCACCTACTCCCACTGTCCCACGTGTGCCCAGTGAAAACTGAAAACAATCACAAACTAACCTGACCGTTGATACAAATTATATTTCAGCAGTTTACGCACTTTTTCATAAAATTATTTTTATATATATATTATTATGTATTTATGAATGTGCGTAACTGATAACTTGTTGTGTTTTTCAGGAATGAAAATGAGATGAGTGTAGAGGCCGAGCATGGCGGGTGTTGGGACAGTTGCGTGCGGCTCATGTGCCACAATCACTCGTCGTCGCAGCCGTCGGACCACCGACATCCCTACCCTGCCCGTCACCTCTACGCCAACGGCAACAAAAACGGCTTGAACGGACACGTCAAAGGTGAGTGTCAGAGCGTGCATTGGACACGACTACTGTAATAAGCATATTATAATTATATAATTATTGGATAGTGGGTTTTTTCATTAAAAAAGTTGGTATAATACGGGAAAATTATTTAAAAATGTGTTAAGGTGCCGAGGTTCGATCACGTCATATTATACCTTAAAGGTTAAATTATAATAGTTTCTGGGTGGAAGTGAAGACCGTTTGGATTACCGCGCATTCTAAATATGGTTTTCTGGTGGGTAGGAAGTTATATACGCGTACCTATTGTAATAAGTATAGTTAGATCGAACAAAAAAGGGATATATCATAAAAAAACGTCGTTTGCCGACCACATTGTACCCATATAGTTACGGCGTTTGTAATACAGTTTATGGGTTACCTGCAAAACACGACGAGCGTATGTTTGTAAACGCGGTGCCGGTGCGTAACATCTCGATGACCCCTTTTGTGCACGCGCGCTCACGGTTGATCTAACCTAAAAATACAATAGTACGCGTATTTTATATCATAGGTATATTATAATATATTTTATCGTATGTATAGCAATGGAGTGTGTAATGATAATAATAATAATGACCGGTTACGGAGATTTATGATTTACGCAGGGAGAGAGAGAGAGAGAGAGAGAGTAAGAGCTGCAGAGAGGAGAATTTCGCGCTGGTCCACGGACGGCGTCCGAAATCATAAAACAAAATTGTGGGCCAGAGAGCCCGTTTTATGTATACGACACAGCATTAAACCGATGTGTTTATCACGATCTCGCGGGCGCCTCTCCGCATTTATTATTATATTATTATGATACGGAGTATACCTAAATCCTCCGGGTATATACCGTTCCCGCGGTTCGACCGCCGTGCCATCCGGTACCACAACACACACTCGATTCGCGCATAAAATATTACATTATTTTATTATATGTGTGGTGTATCTGCCCGTCAGCGGTTATTTCGTATTACGACCGTGTGTTTTCTATTTTTCCGCGCCGTCTTACAGCTCCACGCGGCTACTCCTCCGCAATGTCACGACTCCCGTGGACTCGTCGTGGTTCGATTTTTTTCATTATTATTATTTATTCTCTTGCTGTTCATGAATGGATGTCCCGAGGACGACCTTAAAATTTAATTACTATGTATATTATAATACTACGACGACGACGACGATGACGTCTAGTCGGAGGAGTCGCCGTCGAGGAGCCACGTCCGGTATAATATGCAAATCGTCGTCGTCGCCGCCGCCGCAGTTCTTTAGATAACGGTGAAAGCTCGGAAATTAAACCAAAACCGCGGTGCAGGCGTGCCTTACCTATAGGTATAAATTGGATTTTGCAGAATATTACATCTGCATTTCCGAGAAAGAAAAAAAATAATACACGACTTCAAACATCGTAATCAGAAAATAATCATAATAATATTATGATCATCATACTCCCGCGTTCCCTCTGCACTTCTTCAGTAGCATAATATTGTGTTATAGCCGTCACGCGATGTAAAATTACGAAATACCGCGATGATAGTCGAGTGCTGCGGATGACCGCGATTTTGTAAATATCGCGGGGGCTGACCTAAACCATACGAGCGACTGTGTAGGTAAAAAAAAAGTCCACTGAATATTTTTTTTTACATTGCATAATCATTGTAAGTCATTGCACAAACGTTTAGAAAATCACTGTTTAGTGATAATAAAAAACGCACTCCGGCCATAATGTTATTGTGGGTATACGTATACAATTATATTATAGTGCAGTAAATACCTACTGCTAGCGTACGCACTAGACGAATTGCACAGCAATATAATACCTCCACACCTATAATTTACATTATATTATATAGATAGGTGCATAATATACGTATTACGGGTATAGGTACCTATAATATCGTACCTGGCGTGCCGAGTCTCGTCAATATTACTTTTTTAACCGCGGGACTGCGAGAGGCGGAAGAGCATGACGCTGCAGCAGTGTTTAAAATACATTATTATAATATTTCGAGTCGAGCCGCTCTGTTGCAGGCACCAGATAACCTTTTATGTGATGTACTTACACGCGTGCTACCGCGGAGAGTGCGACTTCGTCGTCTTCGGCTTCGTATCTTAATCGAAATCGGTTTCCATTCGAAAATCGTAATCCGCTCGCCCAAGTACACGACACGTTATCTCGCAACGCCGACCTGTGGTATAATATCATTATGTACCTGTTTATATATAAGTATACCTACTATAATAGATATGATATTATTAATTTAAAATTATGTCGAGCGGAGGACGACCACCCGCGCGACCGCTCGCACGCACAATGTCGATACAATATTAATTATTATCCCGGCCACGTGACCGACGACGCACTTGATAGGTGCCGGGCCGGGCGAGGTACCACCACAGATCTCGAGCTCGAGTACACAATAATATTATAATATAAGATATGTTTAGTACAAGACTGTTATACCTATAGGTAAGGACACGAGCCCCGAGCGACTGTGCTGGTCGAGTTCGTTAAGCGAACTGTGGACGTTGCATACGTTTCGGCGTACATATATTATATTATTATACTGTAGTAACCAGGGCCTGGAATCATAATATGCGTTTGCAATATATTTATGTAATTTACTTGGAATTGGAACAATTCTGATTAAAAATCTATTGGTTTCATAACGCGTGTAGAATGTAAATTCTACATAATACTCAATACAATTTATTTTTGCATAATTTTGCATATTATTATATTATGGATCCATAAAAACGTGTTGATATTGTATATTATTCCTGTATTATAACATAAAAAGTTGCGAGCATCATAAACTTATAAAAAAAAAAAAAAAAAAATTAATAACTATGAAAATTAATAACTATGAAAATACTATTATAACATTTTATAATAATTATACTCCGCGATAAACTCAGAAGTTGTCAAATAAGAAGATTTAAAATTTTTTTTGTGTACTTATTTGAGCTTTGATTAACCATTCATATTTACAATGACTGCTCATACAGTACATACGCTGAACGCGTAAAGTGTACACACTCGGACCTACGAATTATCGTGCCGACATTCGGATTATCGTGCAGACGTGTAGGCGTCGAAACCAATATAAATGCAAATAAAATCGACTCTCGGCAACTATAGAAGTTAAAGGGGGAAATAAAAAAAATTCAACTTAATAAAAATTTCGAGATATTAAAATAATCAAAAAAAATATTATTATTTATTATTATTCATAATACTACATTTTCAAATGGTTAACATGTTATTTTGTTTAAAGAATTGCTGTAACTTTAATTATTTTCAATACATTTTTATCAATGATTATATTATTGTCTAAGCAACAGAGTAGACAATGCGCTCACTGGAAACCCTTTGCCTATTTTATATTATCGGTTTTTCTTTTCGTCATTTCCAATATTTTTAATCAAATTTACTTTATATACGAGTGATGATGTAGTCAATTTTCTTTTTGAATCGTAATAACGCGGCTTGACACTGTCACACGTGGTGTGCGATTAAACTAACAAGAATAATAATTTTGAGTTCTATCGACAGCGGTATAATATTATTATAGCCCGTAGCGGCAAGATCCTAAAATTTTCGCGCTCGTTTTCTCCGACAGTCGAACCGTCCGTCGTCAACTTCGTCTCCGCGATCAAACGGTAAACGAGCTGCTTTCGGTTCAATTACCTATAGACGACTATACTACGACGACGTGTAAGTCTATTTTTCCGTACACATAATGATATGTGTGTACGTGTGTGTACGACCGCATTGATGAAAACGTGCGTTCAATTAATTAGCCCCGTTTACCTCAGAATGTGCTGCTCAGAGTGCTGCTGCCGCGCGGTATTTATTTTGTACACATTTTCTGCCAGTCTCTCTCTCTCTTTTTCTCTCTCTCACTCTCTCCGTCTTTCTTTCTACCCAACGACGTCCGTTTTTTTCCTATTTGTGTACCGAGAATCGCCGCACGCTGACCAAAGCTCGACGGCCGCAGAAGAATCCGCTCTTCATTAGCGGCGGCGGCGACGGCTTTTACACGCCGCCGCGTGTTATATTATTGCTATATAATATACCTATATCTATACGACGTAATCAGCCGACTCGGTGGCGAATGACGCCGAGTCCGTATAGATATTTTTTTTCCTATTTGCTCCCTCTTAAATTTCCGATTTTTTTCCGTCCAAGTTATATGAATCGCACGACTGCAGTTGTATGTATATACGATAACAACAATATTATTATCGAGAGCAACGCACTTGTCCAAACATCATATTATTGTTATTAATATTTATATTCATCTCGACCGTATGCATAATAATAATAATATGTAATGTGTGCGTGCCGCCGCGCTCGCGCGCGTATTTAATACTATACGCGTTTAGCCGTCTAATTTTGCCGGCGATTTTAATTACGACGGCCGTGGACCGTTAATCGGCAATTACCCGGGAATCCGGTCCCAGCGTCGACCAAACTGGATTATTATTACCCTTCATCGTACCTCCGCAGCAGCCGTGTTATCTCGGAGCACTGCGTGCAGCGACTTAAATAATAAATAATAATATATTATACAGCATCCAGCGTAATATTATGTGTATATGTGTAGTTGATGACCAGCGGATGATACTATTATGGTGATACGGTCGACGACGATGACGATTATTTTTACGGGTTTTCTGAGTTATAAAACACGACGGAGATGGGTACGCGTGCTTTTCACATATCGCACTTACTCATTTTTAATAATTATTATCGTGCGATCAACACGTGGTGGTGTGGTTTTTTTGTTTCTTATCTCGACGAATTTCGGACGCTGCACGAAAACAACTCGTGTGATCTGCACGGGACGTTATAAATTCTGTTTCTTCAGTAATAGTCGTAGTCAGAGAAGAACGTAGGTATACATAATGCGATTGTTTTTAACCTATAGCTAAAAGTTCTTCTCCGCGCCACTAGACCGGTTTCATTTCCAGTCGAACGAAGCACATCAGTTTTTTTGTTTGTACTCTATACG